TCTAGCCCATTTCCATGGTTAACTCTATTCAATTTTTTACAAAATCAGACCTAAAAGTTTAAATTTGGTCTGTATAATTTGCAAAAATTTACACAACATGTCCAAAACTCAGTTTATGTTTTTTAACTTCTTTAATTTCATTTTTTTTTTATTTTTTAATCAAAGCAAAATTTGCTTTTATATTTTTTAATTTTTTTATCTTGTTCGTTCTTTTTTCATTTTTTCATTTTTTTATTTTGTAAATTCTTTTTTTTTTGTGTGTTTTTCGTTTTTATATTCACTTAATTTTCATATTTGTTTATATATTTTTTTCGTTTTTTCTTTATTTTCGTTTTTTTTTATTTTTTTTAGAAAACCAAAAAAAACTCAAACACCAAAAATGTATTATACTCGGCACACAAAAATGTATTAACTGAATCTGTTACTGGGGGCTGGCCATATTGAGCAGGTGTCTCTACCTCTTTGGTTTCAAAGGGCGGGGTATAGTTATCATTGAACGAAGGTGGAACGCTGTGATACCCTAGACCCTTATTCTGATTATCTTTAAATTTTAATTGTTTTTCTATTATGGATACAACTACCTCACTTAACACATCAAATTTCTTAAAGTTAAATTCAACATCTTTATAGTTAGTTTTTAATGCATCAAGTTTGACAATTAATTTGGCAATTTTTACTTGAGCCTAAGCATAATGTACACATTTATCGCTATATTCTACTTGAAATTTTCTAAAGTCGTTGGTTTTGGCCTCTAATTGATTTTTTAAGGATTTTTGGTCCTTTCTGACAGTATATCATTAATATTTAAGGTTCTAAATTTCCTCTATCAATAGCTCATGTTGATCACGATAAAGTCTAATTTTAGTTTCACAGGACTCAGAGCAGGAAATTTCATTAACCTTAGTGATTGAAGAACTCATTATTAACCAAAAAGAAAATTTACCAAAAATAGAAGTGATTGTGAAACCACGAAAAAATGCCCTTTGACTTAAAACCTCGAAAGTCAAACTTAAAAAGTCAAAGTTTAAAGTCAAACCCCAGACTTGAAAGTCAAAGATGAAAGTCAAACTTTTTGTCCAAAAAAACAACCTTAACCGAAAACAAAAGTTTCTACATTGAAAACAAGGGTTTTGGACCAAAAACGTGACTTTTGGGCCGAAAATTAAATTTTTGGACCGAAATTGTGAGGCCTCTCAACCAAATCGAGAAGGCTCGCACCGAGAACAATAGACCGAAATCGCTAGGCTTCTAATTCTGACCGAGAAGTCTCACACCGAGAACAGTATACCGAAAACTAGCGAGACCGAGAACTGCTGACTGAAAACACTGAGGATTCGGACCGAGAACGAGGCCAAGGACTTTGGAACCGAGAACCTGATGGCTGAAATCGATGTTGGCTCCGAGATTTTCTAGGTTTTGACCAAGGATCGAGGACAGTTGCCGGGATCTCGCAAATTTCGACCAAAAACACCCAAAACTTGCCAAAAACACGAGATTTCCACATTATAATGCCAAACTCGATAAACTCCAAAAATATGAAGAACACAAAGAACAATGGACAAAATTTTGTCAAAAATAAATTAAAAACACCAAGAAACTCTAAGAAAAAATCCAAGAAACTCTTAATATCTTGCTAATTCGATTGACACTGATCCAAGCTCTGATACCAATTGTAAAACCCAAAATGTCACGATGTATCAATCAGATTCACTTGATGGTGTGGAATCTCAATCAAGTGAATTAGACAAGAAGAAATATAGAACAAGAACACAATGGTTAATCTTCAATGCACACTATTATTGAATAGTCGGGTACATAAGATACTTGATTACACTTGGTTCTCTCTATTTCTCTCCCAAATCACGTTCTAAGCACATGACAGCCCCCAAAAATATCCCACTCTGATTACAAGGCTCAAATGACACTATTTATACCTAGACCTAATAACAAATACCAAGTTCAAACCCAAACAAAACAACATTAAGCCTCCCTAAAATCACATGTGATTTTAGTTCAAACAACACCAAAACATGGTGTTTTCGGTCCTAGACCGAGAACTCTAATATCTTATAAAAAGCAAAGTATAAACCACAATTTATGATCGAAAAATCTCTCCCTTGGTTTATAACTTTCTTTTCACTTAGAATAAATCATAATTTAAATATTTTAATTGTTATTTTCTTTCGGTGACAGAAAACACCCGACAAGGAATGAGGGACAACAATCAAGTACTTTTTTTCATGTTTTTTCACTAAATAAAAATAAAAGTAGGATTAACACAACACTTGCAGGCAGGGACAGACGCAACCTGTTTTAGTAGGGGTGTCCTTCGTACTTCAAGCGGATACACCTAATAAAAAAAAGAAATTTACACTACATGCCAGAAATTAAGTAGTAGCCCAGAACCCCAATGCTCCACTAAGGTTCGCCACTGCTTGCAGGTTAATAAAATATATAACTGGACTTAGTATGGGCTTTACTACTTTTATTTCTATATCATTTTCTCTCTTAAATATCATTTTTCAAGATGACGATATCGGAGGGAGCAGTAGATAAATTTTCACATTTTCCTCAAATACCATTTTTTTTTCCTATTTAACTTTCTTTTTACATCGTCCCATTTTTTTTAATTTTTTTATTTCCATACTCGAGAAACTATAATAGTGTATTGTTTTGTATTGGACGTGTTTGCAACTCCTTAATCTTTATGGGCGTTTAATGTTTATATATAGAAGATATTTTGTCGACCCCAAAATTTGGAAAACAGAAAACAAGTATTTTAATATGAGTTTGTGTGAAAATTCAATGCCACTTGCACATCTTTTGGCCAATTTTTCATTTAAAAAGGAAATTTCGATATATTGCAAAATATAAACCATATTTGCTAGATTAGTTATGCCATACGGTATACATGGTCTGGTATAATGAACTGCATCCAGAAATCTATATATATATATATATATATATATATATATATATATATATATATATATATATATATATATATATATATATATATGGAAAAGTGAATATACCCTTAAGGGTATATAAGCTTAGGTACCCAAACTCATCATAGTACGTCGTTTTGTTTTATATATTTATTCTAATGTTCTTCAACTTCAATCCTTAACTTTATTTACTTTCAAGATTTCATTATTATCTTCCTCTTACATCACATTTTTTTGACGAATATCAATTAGGTTATATATATTATAATATATATAGTTGAAAATGAAAATTATGTAACAGGAAATAAATGTGAAATTTATAGAAATCTTTGAGTGAAATCAAGTTAGAAATTGAGTTATAAGAACATTAGACAATTACAATGTATATATATGATACAAAACGACGTAGTATGATGAGTTTGGGTACCTAAGCTTATATACCCATAAGGGTATATTCAGTTTTCCCATATATATATATATATATATATATATATATATATATATATATATATATATATATATATATATATATATATATTAAAGGTATGTACATCACATGCACTTGATCTTTACCTTATTATAACATATTTTAGCCAAATGTACTTTTTACGAAGTATGTCTATAATTTTTATTTAGGAAATCTTCGAAAAAATAGTTCTAAAATTTTACCCTAATTTATTAAAAAAATCACAAACTAAATTTTTTTTACGAAAAAACATGAATTACCAGTAAAAATGTCGATTTGACTTTTTTTTCCCGATTTCATTACTTACTTATTTCATTAAAATTCAATTATTTTATCAGAATTTACAAATAAATCTCAAACTAAAATTTAGTGATGATTTAACCATTTTCCCGATTTCATTGCTGACTTGGACACCTAATCATAAAATTAGTTGATAAGATGGATATGATAGGTTATAAAATACTACAATTACTATAAAATTTGATATCCATACTCATTTATGATTATGTATGTTGGTCATCAATGAACCTAATAAAATGTGTGTTTCCAGGAAAAAAAACAGTAGAAAATGAGTTGATGCCTGATAAAAAGGATATATTGGGTTACATAAGTTTAGATAGATAATTTTAAACTTCTTATAAACGTAAAAATGACGAAGTTGTTAGTTTATTTAATTATTGCAGTTTTCGTTGGATGCATTTTATATTCCAAAAAATATACAATGAATTGGGATATCAAGTTTTATGGTAAACATAACATGATATAATTCAACAGATCCATCTCATCAACTCACTTAATAACTAGACATCTAGATCAGCAATGAAATCAATAAAATATATGTTAAATGGAAAAAATGGTTAAATCATCACTAAATTTTTGTTTGGGATTTATTCGTAAATTATGATGAAATAACGGGACTTTAATGAAACCAGATAAGATGAAATTAGGAAACCGGGGAAAAAAATGATCAAATCGTCATTTTTACTGGTAATTCATGTAGTTTCATAAACAAATTTTAGTTTGGAACTTTTTTTGTAAATTATGTTAAAATTTTAATACCTTTTCAAAGATTTTCCTTTTTATTTTAAGCAATATACCATAATTTATCTTATAATAAATCTAAAAACATACTGATATTTTGTATAAAGTTTAAAGGGTAATTAAGTAATCTAATCAAATATTTTATTGAAAAACGATGATATTAAGCAATTATAAATATATTTTTTAGTTAAGTAGAGAGATTTTAAAAAAATTGAAGAAAATAAACTCAGAAAATATAAACAGTAGTCCGAAATGAATTATTTACGAAAAAATAGTTATTTTTCAAAAAAACTGAAAAATATTATTTTTAAAGAAAAACTCATTTATACCAGTTGGATTATTCAATTTCCCAAATATAAAAAGATCTAACTACATTGCCTAAAATAAACAAAAATTAGGACACATTGTGTAAAATATAATATGTTGTCCAACCCTATATGGGAGACGTTCACGAGGTTGTTTTCATTGTTCTTTTTTCTTTTTTCCCTTTTGTCAGGTTAAAAAGGAAAGAGAAATGTTTGTCGTCTTCATCAATGGGTGGTGTTAATACAGGTCCGTTGCCAGTTATTATACTATTTATTTAATCTCTCTCTCTCTCTCTCTCTCTCTCTCTCTCTCTCTCTCTCTCTCTCTCCCCATTGAGACCAACAAATCCTTCAAAATGCTCACATCAACACATCACCACCACCTCCAAATCTCCCCTCTGTTGGTTCTGGTTTCGCCTCATCTCTAGCTCCACCGCATTCTCAAACTTCACGCTGCAAAACTTCAATTCAATGGCGGTCGGTACTACTGAAGAGGTATTTTGAGTTTCTCACCCCTGCATTTCGCTTTAATCGCTGATTATACTCATCATTTCTCTTCTTGCTTTCAAATTACGCAACAGTTTTTGTGTTTTCGTTTTATATGTGTTCGGATTGACTTCAGTTCCGTTGAATCGACCTCTGTTTGATTTTATATTCCTAATTTTAACTTTATCGGTTCCATCTCGAGTTTTCCCCCAAAATGTATCGGAATGCGTGTCAGTTGGGGGAAATTCAAAGTAGGGATCTATTCGACTTTTTTTTTGATCTGTTTTCACTTATTACAGTTTAGATTTAGTAATGCAATCGATCTATACTGTAATGCTATGAGTTTTGGTGGATGATTGTGATTTCCTAGGGTTTGGAATTGAATCTCACTTTCACATTTTCGTCCAATCGGCTTCTAGGACCACAATCCGCCTCAATTTCTTTTCTGATCCTATTGACATTTCTTTCTAATAATTAATATTCTGACAGGAGACAATAGCTGGCTCCACATTAGTGTCAGCTGGAGCCCTTTCAACATCTCTTAATAAACACTTAGAAAAAAAAAAAAGTTACTTTGACTACTAGTAACATTTCTAAAATACCTTTCTATAATTAGAAAGTTCTCCAACTTGTACAGTGATAGCACCATTAGATTGAGATGACAAAGATGGAAAGCTAGAGAAGTTTAGTTTGAAAATTTCTAATTTGATGAGACATGTCTCCATCTTTGTGTATACCAATATAAATGTAATGTGCATATAGATGAACTTCATTGGTCCTAAAAGAGAACATTAATACTATCTGGTCCAACAAAAAGTATTCTTGATTCAGTACATGTAGACTTATAGACTGTAGTTATTAAATTATCATTAGTCTCCATTCTTTTGGTTTTAATACCATTAATGCTTTCTGTACTTTTTATTCATTCATTTGTCTCTTATAAGTTTCTTTACATGATGTAGGGATGTGATAGTTTTAGTGTTGTAGTATTATCTGATGAAGGAGGCAACACAGTAGTTGAATGTGAAGTGCCAAAAGATCTGTTGAATCCTGTTGCAGAGGTTCGGATTCCATTAAAGAGCCAGCTGTCACTTGATGCACGTTTGAGCAATCAAAGCTACATTAACATGATGGTTGAAAATGCAGTTGCATATTCAACATGCACTGTAGATGTTGATATTGAAAAAGGGAAATCAGAGACTCAAAGCAATGAAGAAACTCTTGTTCTTGCTAATTTGAAGAATGAGGAAGTTTTGACTGTGAGTTGATAACTTAATTTCATATTTTTTAGGTGATTTGAAGAATGAAGAAAGAAATCACCATTTTATCGATCTAGCAACTGAGTTGTTATAATAATCATAAAAAAAAAAAAAAAAAGTAATAGTGCAGTGGGTAAATTGATAAAATGATGAAAGTAGTACATTATGCTTTTCTCTACTTTTCAATAAATTAATAAAAGTACAAATGCTTTTTTGCTTTTTTATTTTTATTCTTGATTCCAGTTTACCTAACAATGGCATCTTTGCAGAAATCACTGCAGAAACAGATCAGCTTTGACATGGGAGGTAAATACATGCAGTTGTTGATGAATCACAGCCTCATGCTATCAAAGTTCTCTACTCGTGGTACTTGATCATTTTCTTTTTTTTTTTTTTTTTTTTTTGGATAAATGATTGCTTTGTGTTTGTGGTGTACTTATTTGTTATTTTAACAGATAAGGGTGCAACCGAGAAGCTTCTAGATGCTCCCAGATCAAGGAAATATAAACGTGCTGCCTCTTTTAATTCAAGAAAAGTCGTTCTCTTGTTCTCAGTCTTGTAAGTTCTCAACTTATCTTGCTTTTACACTTTCGATTTCAATAAGACAAAAATAGCCCTAGAAAGCTTGTCCAATCCAATTATATCTGAATAGAAGCTTTCTAGGGTTGTTTTTGGTGATGGGGATGAAAGAGGGCATTTATGTCTTTTTATACATGGTATCATCCACTAAAATGTGTAATTTGCCTTTTGGTTTTATTATTATATATATATATAATACAGGTCGAGTTTGGGAACGATGATACTGATATATCTGACATTGAGAGTTAGACAGTTTGGTGATGCCTCTATTCATTCAGAGTGAATTTACATTTACCACCCTGCACTTTGTAAGTTGGCGTTTCTTTGCATCCGGAGACGATTTCTTTGCAAATTCAGGAAACATAACTTTTTTAGGAAACCGAGCTGAGGAGGAGCCTTGGTGCAGTTTGGGGATGAATTCTTTCCACTTTTAGGAGTTTCTTTTTGTTTAAATGTTTAGCTAGTAGCAGCATATTCTACTTTGATATGTATATAACTTTAGAGAAAACGTTGTTGAAATTTGGTAGTTGATGATCTTTTCTTTTTGGTAATATGCTATTTTGATTGTTGGTTGATAACAATTTTAATGGGGATTCCTAACGACTTTCTAAAAATTGGAATGACTAACCAAATTTTTTGGACAAAACAAGTTGTATTGTATTTGATGTGTATATGTGAAATAGTGGCTCATGACAATCAGAAAATCTTTAGACAAATTGGTCTTTGTGGTTAGTCTAAACCAGAACCAGTTGGTTGATGAAAACTATAAAAACTGATTTGTTTTTATCCTTTTTTCAATTTATTTGGATTTTTTTTTTCTTTTATATTATTTTATTTCATATTCTGTTAACTATTCTAATTAAGAAAAAATTTGTGTGGTCCCCACTTGTCAACCAAACCTCTTTTTTTTTTTTTTTCTCTTTGGCGTAACTTACACGTCTAAACGTAAAAATAATATTTTAAAAAACAGAAAATAAATTTCCAGTTTTCGGTTAACCATCCGTAACAAAAAACATGAAAATCGTTGACCAAACCAAAAAAAGTAAAAAATATTTGTTCAGTTAATCGGAAAATCATTACAGTTTTTAGGTTCGGTTTTCGGATATTTTGAACACCACTATAGTCATGTAACTTTGTCTAAGATTTACAATATTTTTGTCTTACCTAAAAAGGTAAAAACAAAGTGGGGCCGAAAATATCTCATGTAACAAATAGAGCTACCAAAATGGAAGAAGAGAGTAGAACATAGAGATTAGAAAACCTAAAAAATAAGTATACCGAAGATAGATACAAACACCATATCTTCTTACTTTAATATAAAGGATGTCACTCGCTAACAAGAAACCAAAACTATCAACAAATTAAGTTACGAATAATCAAAATCCAATTCTGTCTGTCTGTCTGTCTGCTTTCTATTGATCGAAAGTGAGTTGAGTCTTTCTAACATGCGCAGCCTTCACCTTGGTCTGAATGGGAAGCATTACCAGAAGACTTCAAATTGACATCAACCATATCTTCTTGTTTTGTGGATGACATCGTATCCATTCCTGGTAAAGCAGCAGCAATCTTCCGGAATAATGGCTACACAATAAGACATACATTTTTCTCATCTTTTTCCATTAAGTCAAAAGGAAACACCATACATATAACCAAAAGGTAAGGGATTTTGATTAAACCTTGATGTTGAATCCAGCTTTTGCACTTGTTTCTATAAACATAACTCCAAATTCACGAGCTTTTCCATCTCCTTCTTCAATTGAAACTTGCCTAAAAAGCCATGGAGATAAATAATTCTTGACTTTTACAAATTTTCAATCACTTTCTTTTCAAAGATTTATGTTAATAGTTGTCTATTGAACCTTTTGTCAACAAGATCTGTTTTGTTGCCAACAAGGACTATGATGACATTAGTGCCTCGCTCAGTACGTACTTCTTCTATCCATTTTGCAGTGTTCAAGAATGATTGTCGATCTGCAAAAAATATATATATTTTTTTTACAAAACACAAAACAAAAAACCGACAATTTTTGAAAAAATAAAAATAAATTACTCACTAGCAACATCATAGACAATGACTGCAACTGATGAATCTCTTATATAACTTGGAATTAGACTCCTAAATCTCTCCTGTCCAGCAGTATCCCTGAAATGTCAACACCAAAATCCACATCAACTACTTTTTTATTTATTAATCCTGTAAGCTCTTTCTATATAATATTATATATTATTTTTGATTTAATAAAGAAAACCATAAGCAACAAACATGAAAACTTACCAAAGCTGTAACCGAACTGTTCTATCTTCAAGGTACATTGTTTTCGACAAGAAATCAATACCAATGGTAGCCTGCAGTTTATAATTATAAACAAAAAAACAATGTGATTTTACTTTATTTAATAACACTAAAAAACACAAAGATTATAAAGTTAAACATGATAGAAAACCAATGAGACATGACTGGAAAAGATTATGAAATAGCTTCTCTTTAATCTTTATGTATGCAATTGTGAATTTGTATATCATTAGTCCTGTTACTGATGATTAATAAGTTATACATATATGTAAAAAGATATATGGTAGAATGAGAAAAACAATTACTTAGGGCTTTCACAAACAAATAATATTAGATGTATTAATATATATATCAACATAGACTTGTATGTATGTGTATATATATACATTAAAACCAGCATTAAGGAGATTGCTTTAAAGTTTCTTTTGTTTTGACTCGGTCTGTGATCATCAAATGTAACATGATTCTGTGACCTTCACTAAAATAAAATTTACCAGTCAGAAAAATATTTATTCTAATAAGTTTTCTGAAAAAAGATTTTGTTAACCATTAGTCAAATGCGTAAAATACCCCATATTGAAAATATGGAGAATATCAGGAAAAAAAATGTGGTATTGACTTTAATTTCCCATTTAAGTTCATCAGGTGGATGAAAATCAATATCACAATGACATTCATGATGAAGGAAATGATTGAACTAGGTAAAAAGCTTACCAAACAAAAAGAAACTTGCCAATAAACATCCAAAATCCCACAAAAAAATGATGGAATTTCACAGATTGAAAAAATGAACAGGTACAAAAAAACTCAAGCTAAAAGTCTGTGGAACAGAAATCTCTTATCCACTTCTCTTGTTGTATGCAGAATTGGTCCCAAACATCAATGTTCTTTCAGTCTTATTTTGAAGGTTCAGACACACAAATCCTTTACAGGAACCACATGGACAAGAAATTCTCTTAAAAGCTCACTGATCCTATAATGAAACAACACAAACCACGATTCTTGATCTAATAGAGAATACTAGGCATTCAAATCTAAAGGAAGTCACTAACAACTCCAGACACCCAAAAAGAGGTTAGTTTATACGAATAAGTTAGACGATTACTAATAACAGTTCAAAAAATCGGGTAACTAATGATCACTATAAAACGAGACCATGATAACAAGGGCACCTCTTCCTCATGCAAAGGTCAAAGCTTTACGCCTCTTATTGATCAAAATAACTAAGATAAGAACAGCGAATTCATGCAAGACCTAGATAAAATCGCATGGTTTCATTGCTCTAACATCGATCAGACGTCAATTGCGTCCGAATACCCCGATCCAGTAATCAGACTTCAATCGCATACGGATCATGAATGAATCGATAGAAAAAACGAAGAAAAGCCGGTGGAATTATACCTGATAGGTGGTATCGAATTTGTCATACATGAATCTGGTAATGATGCTGGTTTTGCCGACGGATTGATCGCCCAAAAATACCAGTTTGTATTTGGCAAGAGGTGACACCACCGACATTATTGAGCAGTTCCGGGGGCTCTCTCTCGGCGATCAGATCTAAATCTGTAGAATGTTGAAGAGAGAGAGAGAATAGAGAGAAATTCGGAGGAGAGAGAAAGGGGAGAAATCAAGGAAGGCTGGGTTTAATTTTTCAATCGGGTTACATATATACGACATGGAGAAGAAACCGCCAACTTGACCCAAGACTCTATCACTTTAGAGCATTCTTTCTTTCTGAGTTTGATTTGATTGGGTTTTGAATTTTATTTATCTATTTGGAGTTAAAATATCGAGTAGATTACGGTTTTGGTCCTATTGTTGTCCATTTTTAACATTTTTGATCTTTCTATTTCCATTTTAACATAGGTAGTCCTTATTGGATAGCTTGATAACAATCAAGTCTCTACACTTAACAACCCTAACCTGTTAAACTTCAATATATATATATATATATATATATATATATATATATATATATATATATATATATATATATATATATATATATATATATATGATTTTGGCCTTCTAGCATATTAATGAAAAAATGTTATACATACCACGTTGGATGTTGGAGGAATTAGGGTTTATTTTAGAGATCTGGATACCCCTTGGATCGTGTGAATATTTTCTGAACGGGTATTTCTACATATTCATGGGTTGCAAGAAATTTAACCTAGGATAATCTAAGATGACACTTACGAATCTAGGCACAAAAATCGTAAGCCAAATTGCTAGAAAGATTCTATGTTTGTTTGAAGAAAAGAGAGCTAATGGTTTTTCGTATGTCTTCTCAAAGAGAAGAGTTGTTTATATATATATAATAAATGAGATTAGGGTTTACCTCTTAGGGGCCGTCATGGGTTGCTTTGGAAGCAGGCTGGAAAATCCAGAATTTAATGAGGATTTAGGTGACACTACTGACATCATAGAGTAGGTACCAAGTCAGCGGAACCTTAGCCAGGGGCTCAGCCCCTTGGACCCTGCTAGGGGCGCTACCCCTAGACCCCCGACTTGTCGTCGAATCAACTTCTAATTTGATCTTATACATGTGTGCACTCCGCACAAACCCATACATATATTAGAGTACATATTATGAAGCCCCTTAGTTCACATGTTAGTTCCAGTTACATAAAATGACATGGTGACACTAAAATCATCAACATTAGATTAATGAGCTACCAAACACATTCCCTATTTTAAAAGTTTCACATAACTTTCATATCCCCCATCTTCTCTAAATCGGTCTTCAGTTCATCCCAAGAAAAAATGACGTCATCTTCAAGTAAATCCAACTTCAATGGAGGTTCACGATGGAAGAACAAGAGTGGTATTAGATGCGAGTCAGGCAAAATGACACAAGGTCACGATCCTTTGTTTATATACATTGTATGTGTATTATAGTATGTGATATTTTGGAAAACTAACTAACATTTATGCTTATAATTGTTGATTAAATGTTTCGAGGTGGTTTTGTTGATCATGGGAAGAGTATGTCATATTTACATATATGTTGATATTTTTTAGACTTCTGTTGTTTTGACATGATTTTGATACATTGTTTTTATGTTTTGGTTTTTATGATGTTAAACAATTTGGTACTTCTATCTTTTATTGACAAATATATGTTTACTTATATTTAAAAAGAAAACGTTGGTTGAAAATTTAGGACGTTACAAATTTGTATGAGAGCCTTGGTTTGAGGAATATGGATGAATATTATTAGCATGATTCTAAACACAAACTAGGGCTTGAAAGATTTTTTTGAAAAAAGAATTTTTATAAAAAGAGGAAAGATG